CAGTATTACAATGTCCTGTTTCTCTGTGTCCTTTTTCTCCTCCTCCTCCTCCTCCTACTCTTCCTCCTCCTCGTCCTCCTCGTCCTCCTGCTCCTCGTCCTCCTCGTCCTCCTGCTCCTCCTCCTCCTCTTTTTGTTTCCTCCTCGTCCTCCTCCTCCTCCTCTCCTCCTCCTCCTCTTCCTCCTCCTCCTCCTCCTGTTCCTTCTCCTCCTCCCCCTCCTCCTCTTCCTATTCCTCCTCTTCATCCTCCTCCTTCTCCTCCTCCTCCTCCTCGTCCTCCTCCTCCTACTCCTCCTCCTCCTCCTCCTCCTCCTCCTCTGCCTTCTCCTCTTCGTCATCCTCTTCCTCCTCATCATCCTCCTCCTTCTCCCCCTCCTCCTGTTCTTACTCCTCCTCCTCCTCTTCTTCCTCCTCCTTTCCTCCTCCTGTCTCCCTCTTCGCCTTCCGTCTGCTTTCTCGCCTTCCCCTCCATCCCCCCTTCCCCTTTTCCCTGGTGCCGTTTCCGCGTTCCACCTTCTCGATTCCCATATCTACAATCATCCCTGCCATCGTCGTCGCAACTCGTCTTCGTCCAGCAGCTCATCATCATGTTTACCCTCCTCCTTCTCCTCTTCGTCATCCTCCTTACCCATCCCAGCCCCCCCCCTCCCTTACAAATGTTGTTTGTTTCCTGAGCGGTTCTTCGAAAGCCTCCGCATAATCGATGTGACACTGAAGCCTCACTTGCACAACTGTCGCACGAACGAGAGACAGACGGGCCACTTTCACAACATGGTGATCGCCTTGGCGCCACGCGGGCCCGTCTTCTTGCCAACAATCACGCTGGTAAAGCGCGGTGTGCTTTTGGAAATAGAGTTCTCGCTCTAGCGCCGCGCACACTCGTCTAAACACTCGCAGCAGCTACCACGACGCAGTTATGTCGTATTGCTTGTTGGTTTATCAAGTGGTTTTATGGCCTTCGTTGATTTCTCACTCGTCGAAATGAAAAAGATAGAAATTAATGAGGACGGGTGAATCGTTGGTGCAAATTGGGTTCACGCAGGTCCTCCTCCTTCTTCAAGCCATCCTCCTCCCCCTCCGAGAGTGTGAGAGAGAGAGAACGCAAACAACAAACAACAACTTGATAAAACATACACGAAAACATGCATACATACAGCCAGACCTACAGACATGCATACACACAGACATACATACCTACATACATGCATACATGCAAAAATACATACATACATACATACATACATACATACATACATACATACATACATACATACATACATACATACATACATACATACATACATACCGACATACGTACATACATGTCGCTGGTAAACGGAGCAGTGTTCTAGCTTTACGGAAAGCGGGCGGCGGCGCCAGCTAGCGCAGAGCTCGTAGCAGTTGAAGATGCAGCCTGTAATTTGAGCCACAGGGATGCCCGACCGCGCACAAGTTCTCATCCACATCTGCGACCAGGTTGGAAGGAAAAGTCAGCTTGACGCCGCCCACGCCTAAGAACTCTACGTGATCCCCCTCCCCGACAAAGCCACAAACACAACCCACCATGCCATTGAGAGCCGCCGTGGATGGGCTGTGCGGACGCACCAAGTTTCCCGGTTTGAGGTTGCCGCCCAGCGAGGCGAGGCCGAAATCGCCCAGGTCGTTGCCGGCATCCGGACGCGCCTCTATCGAGAGCTTGGCAGCCACAGCCTGGGTCTGCGCCTCCAGGTCGGTTTGAAGCCAAGCAGATTCAGCGCTCGCAAGAGAAACGCACTTCTCCACCAGGCGACGCTGGTGAGGCAAAAGATCGGTGATGAGGTTATCCTTGAGCTTGTCAAGCGGCGTCGCCAATGCGCGGGTGGCCGCCTCCAGGATTTTGGACCGCAGCTCCTCCAGCTTGGGCGGCAGGCGAAGGTTGAGCGAGGCTTCCACTGAGCGAGCGAATTCGCCCTGCAAGTTCCTGACCTGAGCGGGCAGGGCAGCTGTCTTGTCTTCGACGGCGGTCTGCAAGGTGGAGCAGGGGAAGTCTGGGACAGCCACAACACGAAGCTGCTCCAGATCCTGGAGCAACGTAGCAATAGCACAATTCTGACCGTCAAACAGTTGCTGCAGATAGCCAGCCTCAAACGCAGCATGTCCACTGCGCTCCGAACTTTAACGGGGCGACACTATCTTCTCACGATCAATCATTCAAACAGTGAAACACAAAGACGAAATTGCGCCGTCAGCATTGCGAGCATCCAGAGGCGCGAATTCAGCAAATTGAGGGTTGAATTTGGAATCAACTGGTGGCAAACCCTGCTCACGAGATAAAGCGCCGCAAATGCGAATGATATGAGGTCCCGAGCGTGTGGAAGATACAGCGTCCACCATTATCCTACCGCCCCAATATTTGTGCCTCCTGCGGCGCCAGCAGAACAAGGAGCATAAACTGCGCCACTGGGAACGTTTCACCGCGCCTCCTGCGAGTTCGCCAGAAAAGCCAAGCGAAAATGAGAATCGGAATCAGACGAAGAAACATAATCGCAGCGCACGTCGAATTCAAGCCCCGCCCTGCCATCGCCACCGCACACGAGTGAATCGCGAGTTGAACGCCAATCAATAAAGTCTACCGATGCGGGGTCGAAGAGATGCCAGCAACGAGACAGAGGCAGAATGATAGCGCCACGTCAGCAGCCCGCAGGCAACATCGCGGGGAAACGAGCAGAGCCATGCCGAGCAAAAATGCATTGCGGAGCGACAGATTGGCAAGACTAGTTTGAGCCAACATGGCTACGAACATATGGAAACATATGTGGAAACACACATATATATATATACACAAATACATATACATATACATAAACATAAATATACATTTAGATATATCAGTGGTGATCCAGACTGTTGTTCCTATGATGACCTGCAGCCGCGGGCGCGGGCGGCCGCGCGGGAAGCCCCCCTCGCGCGCTGGTTGCAATGAGTGTCATTGGCGGGTAGCTCTTTGAACTTAATCGCGCGGTAAGGATCATAGCTCAAGACTAGATGCAGCAGGCTGGCGCGGGCGGGATCCTCAGGCCCAATCACGAAAAGGGCCCCACTGGCAATTCCATCGGCCTGGGTCGCCCCCGAGATCAGAGAGCGCAGCCTTGGGCAGATGATGAAATGGCCCCAGCAGTCCTCCGCTAGGGGGGGGGGGGGGCACTTCAACAACCAGACTCACCGGTGCCTCTCATGCATCCTATTGTTTGCGCGCCATCCGTTCATCCACGATTTCAGCGCGACCTCGCGCTCGCAGGCGGGAACGTTGCAAAGAGTCACATTCAACTGGCAGCGCTTGCCCGATCGCGGTCGCATGAACTCTTTCTGCGGGGCGTCGAAGAGTTGAAGAGCGCCCCGCGCGCGTCGTCGCACGCCCGGACCTGGAAAGACTTCCTGGTCGGCCAGCGCGAGGGGGGCGCGGGAAACAGCAGCCTGGGCCGCGCAGTGCCTGCCGCGAGCGCGGGGCCCATCTCGGGGAACGCGGTCGAAAATCAAAGCTCCGTCATGGGCTCGAGGGCCCCGCCGCGGGCAGATACCTGCGAATGGCCCTCCCATGGACTGCCCCGCCCGGCCCGGCGTAGATTCGAATCTGAGGTCATCACGCGGCAGCCAGACCTCCATGTCAGGTTTCGCGGGCCGCGCTAATTCGGATGGGCCAACCGTGCCAGAGTGCGCTCGTCGGCGGCTGCAGCTCAATATCCAGATGTCGCCGGGCCGCCCCCGCTGCAGAAGTCCCCTTCCGCAACGCGCGGTGGGTGGATAAGCGACCTGCGCAGTATTTTCCAGCGCGGGCGCGCATCTGAAGTCGCAGGCGCGGATGCCCAGCGCGAGCGCTCCATGGGCCTGGGCCGCGGCCTTGCCGCGCAGCTGCCACTTCGCCGCCGGCCCATGCCACCCGCGGCCAACCATCGCGGGGCCGCGAAGCGCACCCAAATATTGAGCCATCAGCGCGATATTGAACCTCGCCCACTGCGGCAGGCAGTCATCGCAGAATCCCTGAATGCGCATTTTCAGCGCGCCCGTGGAATAATCCACCGCAGGCGCCCCGACGCGCTTGGGGAAGCCAAACTGGAGGCGCGCGCATGCGTCCGCCTCCTCGAAAACATTGGCGCACACTGCGAAGCGTTCTATCGCTCTCAGACTGGCTCCCGCGTCGCCCGCGCAAACTCGGGTCGCGGCTCTGCCTTTCTGGTCAACATCCTTTTCCATCATATTGAGGAACGGGTTGATGGAGGTCGCCAAAATCATGCCGCTCCGAGGGCAGGCCTGAATGACGCAAGCCGAAACGGGATAAACAAAAACCAAACTGCTTCTCAGGAGCTCCGCTGCGCGCACCGCGAAACACATCGCAGCGACAAAGTTCTGGTTGGCCGCTGGAACTCTCATGCTATTCAGAAGCCGGGGAAGAAGAAAAAGAAGAGGATGAACAAAAAGAAGAATAAGAGAAGAAAAAAAAAAAAAAAAAAAAAAAAAAAAAAAAAAAAAAAAAAAAAAAAAAAAAAAAAAAAGACACACAAGACACAAAAACACACACACACACACACACACACACACACACACACACACACACACACACACACACACACACACACACACACACACACACACACACACCACACACACCACACACACACCACACACACACACACACACACACACACACACGCACACACACACACACACACACACACACACACACACACGCGACGCTCGGGAATGCGACCCATAAGCCCCAAAGCACGGCAACCGGCAATAACTCCGCGCGCATGGCCTTCCCGCGCGCCCTGGACGCCGCGCCCAGGTCCGGGGCGTCGCTCACAAAGTTTCGCTCCAGAAAGATGCCTCTATGTGTCATGTTGATGTGCGACTTCTGCCACTGGCGCGTTGCTACATTCCTGGCTGCTGCGCAGATCTGGTCACCCGTGTTCTTCGCGTGGAGTGGCAACGTTGGCCTGGCCAGCCTCTGCACTTCACATTGGCGTATAGGGAATTAACCCTGCGTCGGGTAGGCTGCCGCGAGGCGGCTGAAAGCGACCGCGCGCAGGTGGACCGCGCGCGCGCAGATCCATCTGGCAGAGCGCCTCCATTCCTGCCTCCCCAGCTTGCGCCCGCGCCGAATACGGCGCGCCGCGTGGCCCTGGCGCACTGTCCGCCGCCTTCTTCAGGAGGGCGCGATAGCGCGACATGGACGGCCCGGGAAAGTCGCCGGCGGTGGCTGGCGAAGCCCACTTGCGGAGGAAGTTCGCGGAGCGGCTGGAAACTGTTGCACGCGCCGTGAAGATGGAGGCCCAGTAGTTATGGACATGCATGGTGAAGTTGTCGGAGCCCATATAAGATCCGTCATCCGCCGATACCTCGGCGTCGAGGGCGATGGCCGCCAGCTTCAACCTTGCGTTGAGATGGGACCCCAGCTTAGGAAGCACGTTGAGCCTGGCGATGTTTCCCTGCACTTTGAAGGCGTTGCTCAGCGCGCATCGACGCACTGACCGGCCTTCCACGGCGCGCTTTCGAGCACCCATACCCGACATCATAGCCGACGCGCAAAGGGCCTGAAAGACACTGGGATCACGGTGGCCTGCCACCTTCCCCTGGACGATGACAATGTGCTCCTTGGCGATTTCGTGCACGGCTACCAGCTCTTCGGCCAAGTAGTGGTCCTTCCTGGCAATCGCACTGGCCACGCTAGAAAAAAAGGAGCAACTGAATGGGCTTGGACCGCGGTGCCTCGGGGCATGTCATGAGCTGCGCGCGCTATGCGCCCAGCCCCGCGAATCTCGCGCTCGCGGGCGCCCCGCCGTGCCGCGGCGCCAAGCTCGCCCAGCGGCGCGGCGCGCGACTGCGCAGCGCGCCCTGGAAGTTGCGCGATTTTACAAATCGCTTTTGGAATGGGTTACACGTCGGCCCGGACGCGTCACACGTCGTTGGACAATGTGATAGTCGGGGCGTGGTCGCTGAGATGTTGGAGGCAGGAGAGCCGCGGGCCATGGCGGACATGCATCTGGAAACGCACCCGCAGGAGGTACCAACCAAGCAGGCAGGCGCATGCGCGGTCGATCCTCGACAGCGCGGAGTTGGGCTGCCAATAGCGCGTGAACTTGTCACCCGAAGCTTTCCTTTACCTGGTCCAGGATGTCCTGCCGCCGCCGTCGATGGACTTGCAGCCAGCGTCGTAGATGACCAGGGGGCGTCTCATCACCCCATGCGCGGCCGCGTCGCTAGGGCCGGGGGGGGCCCCAGCCGCCGCGGCAGACAGAGGATGGGATGGGGACAGGCAGAGTCCTGGGTCGGTTCGATCGTCTTCCCAATCCTGAGGAAAAGGGTCGAGCCCGACACCGGGCGGGCCTGCGCCGCCGTCGGATGAACGAAGTCCGGCCCTATCTAGCCGCTGCGCGCCATCAACCCGCGCGCGAATGGAGTCGCCCAAGCGTCGCCGTGCTGCTTCCCTAGGGGCCAGGACATAAAAGTCGCCATGCAGCCATGCCGACCGCAGAATTGTCGATTGCGCTGCTCGTTGGAAAACTCGAACTGCCTGTCGTGTTATTATGCGCATCTGGCCTGTGTCGATGTTGTAGATGTGCGTGTTCAACTGCGTTTGAGTGCGTGAACCATGATCGACAACACCGCGTTGAACTCTGACGGGGGCGAGAACATGTTGAAGGGGCTTGCCTTCGGTGCAAGTGCGCGCACCCAAGAGCAGGCCGCCTGATGCGTAGTCGCCGGCGGGGGAGGTGCAGAGGTAGACGGTCAGAGCCAGTCGGTGCAGTAGGCGTTCCACTTCCCACCCAGATGCAAGAAGCTCGTGGAATATTTCCGAGTGGCGCACCTGCTTCTCCAAGTAGTTGGCCTTCGCATGGGCCCTGTCCCTGCCAGGGTGGTTGAGCGCCCGTGCGTTCCTTCATAATATCGCCCGCGCAACCTTACGCCGATTTGGTGCCGGCACAACCTTGCCGATGGCGGGGTTACCCCCGCTGCATGCCCTTTTCGACGGACGCGGCCCGATGTACTTGTCGAAAGGCTCACGGGTGGTGCCCGATTTGCCCAGCAGGGCCAGACTGCACACCACCTTGACAACGCCTGGCTCGAGGGAGAAGATCTTAGCCAGCGCTTTCCCTCCACCACCACCCGTTCGTCGGACTTGTGGAAGAAACTGTCGGCCTTGTCGGGGTAGAGGTGGCGCAGACTTCGTAGCACCTGTCGTCCTTTAGCCTGGACTTTGTCGTGGCGTTGGCATTGGTCACGGTCGAAGAAGAGCTGGAGCTCCGCGCGCCGAAGTGGCCGTGACTTGTTGGCGATGGCCTTGAACGTCCCGCGGAAAGTCGTGGAATAATTAATCCACACGTTGGGCTGCCAGACCTCCAGCATGCTTGAATGTAATGGTGAAAATATGTGGAAGAGCTGCACCGCGATCTCGACGTGCCTGGCGTCGATGCCAGTGGCCTTGAATATCACCCCCAATTTTGGGAGGATGCTGGTTAGCGGTACGTTGTGCTTGGCACGCACTCGGATCTTTGACCTGTCTGGTTCCCGGGTCCTGGACTTGGCGACATAGGTGTTTGGTATGATAGGTGTGACGTTTGGCTGCGATCGTGAGGGTCTTCTGGAGGTGGACGATGTGTTCTCGCATGAACCGCTGCTCCTCGGCCAGCTCGTCTTGGCGTTTGTTGACTGACGAGAGGGAGTCCCTGATGGATGCGAACTCGAGCTGTTGGCCTCTATCGTACTCTGCGAGGACGTCAGCATTGGCTGCGTTGACCTCGATTGTGACCTCGCCCATGCTGTGGCTGAGCATGTCGTTCGCTTCGTTCACCATGGACTTGACGATCTCCTTGCAGGTCTTGGAATGCTGATCCAGGAGCTCAGCGATGCGCGCCGGCTGCTCCAGCAGCGCCGCCTCGCGCCGCCTTGCCAAAGATCGTTGGCCACCAGCGGATCCGCAGCTGGCTGCATCCCGGCGTCGTCACGGCGCATGCGCTTAGGATCAGCAGCGCTGTCGGGGAACCGCGGCCCTTTGCCCTCGGGGCGCCTGGCCTGAGCGGATCCCGCTTCATCCTTGCCGCCATGCTTACCGCTCGGAGGCCTGAAGACCAGACCAGCGAAGAAACTGGGTGTCGAGTGAGATGAGGAGGTAGGGAGTAATGCACCAACATGAGCTCACAAATGCTATCAAAAGCTTGGCTTGAGCCAAAAGGGGCTTGAGCCAAAGTGGCTACGGATACGTCAACACGTGTGTATGCATTAATGTATACACATATGCATATATATATATATATGCATATATATATATATATATATATGTATACACAAATCGAGAAAGAGAGAGAGAGAGAGAACAAAAAAAAGGAGGTAGAGATGCGGCGTGGGAGAATCAGGAGAAAGGGGAAAGAAAGAATTCCCCTCTACAACGCCCGCCGTCCTCTGAGGTCGAGCCCGTTGCAGTGTGACAGTGCTCGCTGGCGTCGTCCTTGATCGGGTGGGAAGAGGCGCGACTTTGGGGTGGGACTTGAACTAAGGATCCATGAGCGAAGCCTAAGCATGCGTTCGGCACTTTTTGCTGCCTCGATGGTAGAAGACAGAAGCGGAAAGCCTCACCACATGTGCCCACTTGTTAACCTCCGCCTCGTCCTCCTGCTCCCATGCATATGTTCCCCCTCCTTCTTATATTGTGTTTTCTCCTCATCCTCCTCGTCCCCTGCTCCTCGTCCCCTACCTGGGCCTCCTCCTCCTCCTCCTGTTCCTCCTCCTCCTCCTCCTCCTCCTCCTCCTCCTCCTATACTCCTCTACTCCTTTTCCTTATGAATAACTCCTCCCTGTGGTACCACTGGGCATGTCCGTAGGCTTGGCCGGGCGTTTCGCCTGAGACTCTCTCGCCAACTACGACCCTGGAGCTTGAAACTTGCAACAGCTTCAAGGATGGATCGCACACGGTTTTCAAAATGTGGCTCTCGCCCTTGCGCCGAGCGCATTCGTCTTCAAAACTTACAACAAATTCAAAAATTGAAGCCAGTTCGTTTTCAATGTATGGTTCTCGCGTTGGCGCCGCGCACATCCGTACGACCCAACGCTCACCATCCTATGCAACAGACACGATTCCATGGATCCACCAGCAGCAGCTCCGGCATCTTGCGCCCGGCACTGTTGGTTTTCCTACGTACCAATGTGGCCGCCAAACCTCCGTCCGCGAAGGTGAAACACCAAGGTAGGAGCCAGCCGTGGTCGTCGTAGCGCAGCACGGCCCAGACCTCGACAAGGCGAAGCCCCGCCACTCCGCGCAGCAGGCGTGGCGTGGCGGGCCCAGCGGGCGTGGCGTAGCGGGTGGACGTTCCCTTGCTTTCGCCAGCAGCTTTCCGAGAACAAGGTCGCAGGGTTGGCCCGGTGCTCCGACGTCATCGTCAACGTCGTCGTCGTCGTCGGCGGCGGCGTCGTCTTCGTCGGCGGCATCGGCGTCGTCGCCGCCACCGTCGCCGCCGCCGCCGCCGCCGTCGTCGTCGTCGTCGTCGTCGTCGTCGTCGTCGTCGTCGTCGTCGTCGTCGTCCTCGTCGTCGTCGTCATCGTCGTCGTCGCTGTCGTCTTCGTCATGCCCCCCATCCTGCCTGGGGGGGGGGTCCCTGTGGAACCCTGGGACCCATCCCATGGGAGGGGGAAGAGGCGTATGAACCCTCGACCCAGGATCAGATATGCCCTTATCCCCCATGGGGGAATGGAGCTGGCACCCCCCCCCTCCCAGGGCCTGGAATCCCTGCTACATCGACACGCTACGCCTTGCAAGCTGGCAGCGTCCCGCTCTGCTTTGTGGCACTGAAGGCTGGGAAACACTCGGAGCGTTGATGCTTAGGGACTCCGACGTGCTTAGCGTGTCCCGCCGAAACGTGGTGAGACAGAACCAGCAGGGCGACGGGCTGAGCAAACGCTTCTGACCGTAACGTGCCCCCCAGAAGGCCTCAGACAAGATGGCCTCGAGACGACCTCAGAGAAATTCAGGAACACCCCAGGACGGCCCGACGACCACCAAACACAGCCCAATACCGCCCCCCAGACGGCAATCCCCTCCTCTGACGCAGATTTACAAGACATCAAGATAGAGGAGTGCGGGGAATGCGTCTTGACTACAGCCAAACGACACGTGCGCACATAGCTGGAAAAAAAGACTCTGACGACGAGGAGGAGCAGGAGCAGGAGGAGATTACTTTGTCGGCGGGACGCGAGACCCCCAGCCGGTCGGCGTATGCCCGCAGCAGCCGGTCGACAAAGTAGACCAGGCTGTCGCACGTCAGGTACCGCAGGGCGAAGGCCTGTGCGTTCCGCGCGATCTGCTTCGCCTCCTCGTCGTGCTGCCTGAGCCACTCCACCTTCTCCACCAGGTCTACCAGGTCGTACCGCACAGGGACGTAGTGCACGTAGGGCTCGAGCATCGCGTGGACCGCGAACACCTGCCACGGCCCATCCGGTATGATCACCACAGAGTTCGTGAACAGCTGCCAGTATACGCGATCTGCTGCGGCGAATCCTTCAACGGCGATCGCGTACTTGTATGCTCCCTGGTCCTCCACGCTCATGCGTTCTGACACGAGCATGCCCTCGTCGGTCAGGAAACGCTGGAGGGCAGGCGCCAGCTTGCGTCTCTCGTGCCGGGTCGTAGAGCGCACGAACTTGGCGTCGATCCAAGGCACGAAGCGCCCCATCCACACCAGACGGCCTCGCGGCATTTGCTGCCACGTGGTGAAATTCCACTCGCAGCTGAGCACCTCGTCGCCAGGAGGTCGCACGCACCTCTCCAGTTCCGCAGCGTCGTCGGCAGCAGCAGTGAACCTGCAGCGAGAGGTGCGGCAATTTGAGGGCGTGCCGCGCCACACGAGCTTCGCCTCGCGCTTCTCCCAAGGCACATAGCTACCAGCCCACATCGCGTCCATGACGTGCCGATTGCACTGCGCGGGGTGCAACTGCCACTCGACAGGCAACGCGATGGTGTTGGTCCACCTGGTCCCGACGCGCGTGAAGACTGGCACGCCCTCGAAGCCCACGAGCGTAACGTCACCGCTGTTGAGGATCAGATCAAAATCCGGCAACGATCCTGTGACGCTGGATATCACCATCAGCACCTTCCGAAAGGCCTTCATGTACGAGCAGTCGAAGGTCGGGCACGCCTCCGTCTCGTTGCACGTGGTCACCCCGCCCCCGCGCGCCGAGATCAGGCACCCTCGGGATATGAAGGACCGCTCCAAGCGCCACTGCACGCTGAGGCCAGCTGTTGCCACCGCTCCCGCGTCAATGGAGGCGGCCGCCACGTGCGCACCCGCGGCCTCCTCCAGGCGGGCGTCGGGTGGACCGGCGCTCTTGCGGGCATAGACGGGGTAGCAGCACTGCAAATGCTGTTTGGACACGCCGGACCCGTTGAAGCCCTCGGCGCCCGCTGCGCACTCCGACTCCGACCACCCTGGCAGGGGCGGCTCGCAGCACTCGCAGTCGTTGCTCCACAGCAGCGGAGACGTCGGGTCCAGGCACGCGAACATCCACAGCTCAAGTGGCCGCGCAATCATGTAGCTGTAAATTCTCGCGTGGCGCGAGGAGATCTCCGCCTGTTGGGGAAAGCCGTCGTCATTCAGCATGCGCGCCATCTGATCAAGCCTCTCCCTCTTGGTGATCACCCTGCTCTCGAGACCCTCGAAGCAATCCCCGTAGCCGGGCGGCAAAGGGTGGCAGCAGAAGTCCTCCGTGAACCAGAAGCCGCCCCAGCAAGCCCTGGCGGGACTGTCGCCACAGCATTCCTCGAAGGAGTAGCCGCTGCTGTACCAGCAGAGGGCGTTGCCCTCTTTGCCCGCCGCCTCCCCCTCCGCTAGAGGAACAGACAACTGAATAAACAGCAGAGTGAGGGGGCCGAACGGTCATTCATTGTCCCTGGGTGCATGGCTGAAGTGAGACTCCGTGACTCCGTGGCCCGGATTGTGGTTGTTTGTTATTTCCATGCTGTTGTTTGTTTTGCTGTCCGCGACCCCCCCGCGACCCACCCCGCGACCCCCCGCGACCCACCCGCGAAGCATCCCGCGCCCGCCCCCTCACTCTTATCCGCAACTGCGGGGTGCTACATGAACCGTTGGAGGTCCGCGCGGATGTCTTGGATCTGCGCCAGACCCCCTCCATGGCGGGGCCTCTGGCGCCACCCCCTGGCGTACTCCGCCCGCCAGTGAGGGGGGGGTCCAGGGCCGATCCAGGAAATGCGAGCGGAGCTCTGGAAGCTTGTTTATGCCGCTTCCTCTCCCTCTCTTCCTGGGGAGACCACAAGGTACCGATACCGCCGCTCCACGGGCCTCTCCTGGGGTGCGTTCTGACCAGGCCTTCGAGGCGAATCCAGCGGTGGCGACGAGGACCTCCCAGGAAGCCCAGAAAGCGGACAAACGAGGCGAGGGCAGCAGCGTGGGCACCTCTTCCTCCTCCGCTGTCTGTGCCGCTTCCTCTTCCTCCATCCGCGCCGACCAGGCCAGCCATCGCCGGCAGCAGCGGCGCCAAGCGTGCCGCCCGCGGCCGCCGTGGCGGCCGCATGGGCCAGCGTCCCGCCGCCCAGCGGCGCCCGGGCGGGCCGCCGCCGCCGGCGCCCGCCGGCGCCCGAGGGCACGCCGCCCCGCAGCCCGCAGCCCGCGGCGGGGGCCCGCCGCCCGCGCGCCGCGCACGGGGCCGCGGGGACCCGCCGAGGTGCGGGCGCCGCGCGCCGCGGCGGGCGCGCGGGGGGCCTCCGCCGCGCCGTCCTGGCCCTCCACGCGGCTGCGGCCGAGGCGGCGGCGAAACAGGTGGGTGCTCACTCTCGGAGCGGGCACGACGGCTGGAGGCTTTCGGCCCTCCCTTGCCCCCCCCCCCCCTTCCCAGACACCCGACGTCACGATTTTTCACGACGTGGACCCCCAGAGGTCTCGACCCATTCCCCGTGACGTGGCTGCGGCCGAGGCGGTGGCCTCCGGAGGTCCCCCGTGGATGCCCCCGGAGGTCCCCTGGCCTCTGGCAGGCGATGGGCGCGAGGCGGTTCTTCTGTAGATTCGTCCGGGTATAACTGCACGGCGTTCCCCCCCCTCCCCCCTCCCCCCTCCGCCGTCTTTCCAAGCAGCGGTGGGCTGAGCAGACGTGCAAGCCAGCGTGGAGCCCAGGCTTCCTTTCGGCCCTGCACCGCACGCCCCTACCCCCACAGATCCCGGGCCCAGGGTCAGCATGGCCAGGATCGACGACGTGGTCGGGAGACGCCCCCCGAAAAAAGAGAAGAATCTTCCGGGGCAGAAGCAGAACAACAAGAAGGGCAGCCGCGGCAGGCATCGGGGGCGTCCAAGAGGGGAGGGTCCAAGAGGGGGAGCTGCTGATAACGGCCCAAGGCACGTGCGCGGACGAGGGGGACACCAGGGGACGCACGGATGGGGGCCGGGATATCCGGGGATGCTTCGTGGCCCCAGCCATGATGTCCACCACCCCCCAGTCACCACACCCCCTCTTGCAAAGGGGCCCAAGGACACATAGATGAATACACACTGATCCCAGGATTCCCCATATTTTGCCATAGTTGTTGGATTTTCGTCTTCCCCTCCACTTCCCATATGTTCCTCTATTTTCTGGGGAATCCACGATTGATTGTGTCTGCGCATTTTTTCCCCTCCTGATCTTGACGATCCCCACCCTCCGCCGTCTGGGCATGGGTTCTAGGACGGGGTCGCGGGCACGAGAGAGGAGCGACAGAGGGCAGGCAGCAGCGGCAAGGACGGCTGGGGCTGAGGGTGGCCCCCTCCTGGCCGCCCCCCCCCTTACAGCAGCGTCCTCGCCGCGCGGCGACGGCACGGCCGGCCGCCTGAAGAACACCATGCGCAGCGGCCGCGCCTGCCAGCCGCGTGGGCATCCGCTTCGCTCGCTTCTGGGCGCTGCGCATGCGCGCGGGATCAGACGTACGGCGCGGGCGGCGCTCGGAGCGGCGACGAAGCGGGGAACTCGAGGGCTTCAGGCCCCCTATATGGGGCGCCGGTTATCCCGAAGGCGAAGGGGTCGGGCGGCATCTGCGCCGCCGCCAACGTGCGCATCCTGACGCCGCCCAGATGCTTGCTGTACTCGCGACGACGCGAGACGGGGGTAAGGGGAGGGAGGGAGGTCCTAGAAGAAGGCTGCTTCTTGGAAGGCGCCAGCCCGGCATCTACAGAGAAGGCCCGCGCCTTCTGAGAAGCAGGGATGGTTCTAACAAGCCTTCCATCCCCCCTCTACCCCCCCTACCCCCTCGACGCGTACCAGAGTCCTGGTGGCAACGAGCCCTGGGCCTCCAGGGGTTCTCTTCCCCGGGGACAGCTCTTCCTCCCGAGTCGTTTCTGCCCCTGGGCCTGGGTGGGGCCCCGGGCGGCGGGACACGCTCCTGCACCACGAGAATCCATTACCAGTCTGGAACATATCCCTATCCCTATGCTGGGCACCTCCTCATCGCGATACCAATCTTAGGGATTCCCTTATTTTTGAGGGCGAATCCCTAAGGTTGTCATCGCCTCTTGGCGTGTCAATCTTAGGGATAGGGATACGTTCGAGGCTGGTAAATCCAGAGGCCCCTCTCCTCCAGGACTCCTCTTCCCCGAGGCGACCTCAGAGGTGAGGGACAAGACTCCTGAAGGAGGGGCAAGACGATGTTGGGCAAGAATCTGGCTTGAAGGGGAACGTTCGAGGGGGGCCGGCTCAGGGAGGAAACATTGATCTGGAATCGGCGATACATCGCCGATAGATCGGCGATTGGCCCACGATGGCAAGCCCGCACCACACATCACTGGACGGGGTGGGCCATCAGGCCTCTATCATAGGCGACTGGGGGGCGATACATCCCCCCCCCCCGAGCCTGTCCCCCCCTGACGTTGCCCCTGGTAATTACCCTCCACCGTCCAGGACATCCTCCGAAATCGTGATTTGTTCACGGCGTGGCTCCCCGGAGGCCTGGACACTTCCCTGGGGACTGGCTTCTCACCCTGCGTTTTTGCTGCGGCCGTGGGGCCTGGCAAGGTCCCCTGAAGGCCGAAACCTGTCAAAGACCTCCCGCCGTGGCTTTCTTCAAGACGCGAGAATGACGGGGTCCTCACTGCTCCTCTCCCTTCTCCTCCGCCGCCTCCCGAAGAGGAAGGATAAAAGCCCTTCGTTCGCTGGCGAAGCGGTCCGTCGGCGAAACGGTCCCAGGCGGACGGACTGCCGGCGGAGCGGTCTGCCGGCGGAGCGGCCTGCCGGCGGAGCGGCCTGCCGGCGGGGCGGCCTACCGGCGCGGCGGTTCCAGAGCGAGGCAGTTCCGCAGCGAGGTGGTTCCCCAGCGAAGCGGCTCGGGCGACGGGCGAAGCGGCCGACCGGCGAAGCGGTCTCGTGCCGTAGGGGGGGGGGGGGCGCCTCCATGGCGGCCACGAAGGCCGTGGCGGCCATGTCCGCGGGGGCCTGGCCGCACACCTCGGCGAGCACGTCGCCGGGCCGCAGCCCACTGCGGTCGGCCCAACCGCCGGGCCGAACCTCAGGGGGGGGACGCGGGGATGCGCTCTTCTGGGGAGGAGGGGGAGGAGGAGGAGGAGGAGGAGGAGCAGGAGGAGGAGGAGGAGGAGGAGGAGGAGACGCACGAGGAATAGGAATAGGAATAAGAATAATCCCGGGGCGCCACGCCGTTCCTCCAGCCTGATGGGCCGAGGGCGCCAGGGTTATATTTTTGTAGGGCAGTGGGGGCGACCTGCGCGCTGACCAGCATTGCAAGCAGGCTGGCACAGACCCAGAGGCGCGCCCAATGGCGCGCAGCCCAGCGACTGCCACAATTCGCGCCATCCTCGGGGAGCACCTTGCCTGAATCACGCTTCGCGTAAGGAAAAGATGCCACTAAGTTGACCTCAGGGAGAGGCTCATACCAGTGAGCACAAACCCTCACGAAGCCTCCCTAGCAGCTCCTTTTCCGCGTCCAACACATGCCCCATGACGGTCGGGGGTAAGACGTGAAAGCTCAACCGTAGGCCCAATTCCAGGGGCATTCCTGAAACTAACACAAATTGGTGGAAGAAGGGAGGGAAAATTAAGACCAGGAGGGGGGCTGACATTGGGAGGGATAACAATAACAAAATTGGGGAGGGATTGGCCCTGTACGCGCCTAGTCGCGTCCTCCGAAAGCTGGCCAGCCCTCAGAAGTGCCATGGCACACGCACTAATTCTCCTGTCGAAACCCACAGGGCCCGAAGAGGAGGAAACACGACCACGACCAACACCATTCACTGCACGGTGTCGAGCAACCGCCGCGCCTCTCGAACCTGAACTTCTCTGGGCGCCCCGCGGATCGTCTTGATGCCGCCCTCCTGCTTCAGCATAAACGAATAAACTGAAGAAGATGCGCCGCCTCCTGGGCCTCGTGCGACAGCAGAAACTGAAATGTCTACGAGCCCCCCCGTTCTTCGTCTTCCGCTGCTGGCCCTTGCAGCAGCGGATGTGATCCGCCAGCATCTCGGGGTTCTCGGCCTTCGGCACCAGGCACTCCCAGAAATTCAGGGCGGGGACCTTCTCCTGCTCCGGCCCCACCAAGTTCGCGCCCTTGGTCGAGGCAACTCGAAGGTGAAACATGCAAAGCCGCTCCTTCTCGAATGCCTGATCCCCGTCCTGTTCCGCTCTCTCTTCCTTCTCTCTATTTGTCCCTCTCCATGTCTCTCTCGGCTTGCGCCTCCGCGTTGAAGGACTGCTCCACCTCGAGCATGAGTTGTACCGTTACCGAATACAATAGGACCAGATACGTGTCGCACACTGCGCCGATCGAAGCTCGCAACTCCGCCTCGTCGCTAAGCATCAGATTGGCCAGCGCTACCACAAGCTCTAGTCGCTGTCGCTTTGCATCCTGGGTCAGCTGTTGGGCTCACCTCCACCAGTATATGAGTTTCCCTTGTTGGCCTTGTTGTGTTTTGGCACCGCGCCTACAGCGCGTTTGGACATCCAAGCTGGCCTGGGTTGATCTGCCATCGGCGCATTGACTACTCAGAGAGCGATCCTCGTTTGTGTAGATGTGACGGCATCGGTCATAAACTCCAGCTGCTCGAGCGAAATGGATACGGCAATGTGGTTGATAGCTGTCCAGATCCGACCCATCGAAGTCACATTCAAAACATTGCAGACTATTAGGCGCACGCAAAGGTTCGGACGCGCCCTCTTCAGAATAATAGCAGCCCCTTTAACTCAGATTCCACAAAGCGTCGACTAGCCCTAGTAGCACTAAAGAGCAGTTCCATGCAGTTCGGGCATTGATTTAAACAAAACGTGGCCCAGGGATCCAAGTCTACGACGAAAACGCATCTGAACCAGGGAAGCTTTCTTACCAGGTAATATTTCGCAGCAAGGCACCCTCTCGCTGTTTTCTGACATAGAACACACCCCGCAGATCCACTTGACACCTCCATTCTGCTCACCCACCTCCTGCTTTTCGCTATTCTGTGTGGCACGAACTCAAGGGGTGGAATAGCGACCGCACGTTGTCGCCGTCATAGAAGCGTGGTATCTGTTGTGCAGAGGGATTGGCCCAGCCCCTTGTCCCACCACAACGTCAGGAAAAAACCTTGCAGGCAGGCGAGCATGTCCTCGCTCTCGTCCACAACAAACACGCTCTCCAAGGCGGGAAGAAAAGCCTCGCCCCAGGATTGGCATAGGTCGTGCAACGTCCGTTGTACACGCACTGCGGCCGACCATCCAGGAGGTTGGCGAACAAGGCGGCAGTGACTTGCACGCGGCGAAGCAGAGCGCACAAAATGCACCAGCCAACTCAAACGACAAAACCAAAATTCCAGGAAAGCGGGGGTCAGCCTCCAGCGTTGAAACACGTGTTCGCTACGCAATACGCGTTCATGTCGTTATCCTTTCCTATCAGCCCCCCCCCCCTTGCATGGCCAACCTGCAGCATTCGACAAAAATCGTATCCATACGCTCAAAATTTCGCACCACTACAAGGAAAGGTAACTATTCTTTCTTTCTGTATATAGATGTGTGTATGTATGTATGTATATATATATATGTTTCCTGAAGCTCAACATTTTGAACACCCATGAGAACCGACCGACGAACACGAACAGCGATATTGATCGCCAACCAAAATTTACCCAGCGAGCGAAACGATGAGTGGAACGCCGACATTCTCTCGGGCACCTCCACCCCAATCGACCCCTGTGGCATGCATTTGCTCTCCCACGACTGCCTCGGCAAACGAGTCTGACGATCGCATGTTGCTTCTCGCGATTCTGCACCCACCCTCCCTTAGCCAAGATCTCATCCAATATAATGTTGGAATGCCTACTCGCCGACCTCAAAATTTCGGGCGCCACATCGGTCCGAGTAGATACAAGTCCTCCACCGCTGTGCAGCTTGGTGAGATCATCTGCAAATATCGTAAGGCACAATTCTACCCCATCCAAGCCAGAAATCAGACAGCCACTCGACTCTTAACCACACGTCCGAATGAAGTATCGCTAGAAGTTCCGCACTCCACTCATTGACAAGACGTTAAGTTCCACGAAAACCTTCCGTGGCATAGGGGTCGACCGTGAGAGCGTCACACTTGGGACAAACAGCTAAGAGTCGATCGCGGATAGGTAGTACAGTAGTAGCTGAGAGAGCCCGGCCGAATCCGAAACGTTGGTCTTCGGGCTCCAGGAATTGGAGATGTATTTTGTCCAGGACGTCGGCGCAAAGCATTGTTGCGGTTTGTGTTGTAGTAGTGGTGGTAGTGCTAGTACTAGTACTAGTACTAGTACTAGTACTAGTACTAGTACTAGTAGTAGTAGTAGTAGTAGTAGTAGTAGTAGTAGTAGTAGTAGTAGTAGTAGTAGGAGTAGTATTTGTTGTAGTAGTAGTAGTAGTAGTAGTAGTAGTAGTAGTAGTAGTAGTAGTAGTAGTAGTAGTAATAGTAATAGTAATGGTAGTAGTGGTAGTAGTAGTAGTAGTAGTAGTAGTAGTAGTAGGCGTAGAAGTAGTACTAGTAGTAGTAGTAGTAGTCGTCGTCGTCGTCGTCGTCGCACTAGTGGTAGAAGTAGAAGAAGAACTAATAGTAGTAGTACTAGTAGTACTAGTAGTAGTAGTAGTAGTAGTAGTAGTAGTAGTAGTAGTAGTAGTAGCAGTAGTATGGTAATAATTGTAGTAGTAGTATAATAGTAGTAGTAGTAGTAGTAGTAGTAGTAGTAGTAGTAGTAGTAGTAGTAGTAGTAGTAGTGGTAGTAGTAGTAGTAGCAGTAGTAGTGGTAGTAGTAGTAGTAGTAGTAGTAGTAGTAGTAGTAGTAGTAGTAGTAGTAGTAGTAGTAGTAGTAGTAGTACGTAGTAGTTAGTTGTAGTAATCGTAGTAGTTGTAGTAGCCGTAGTAGTCGTAGTAGTAGTAGTAGTAGCAAAAGTAGTAGTAGTAGTAGTAGTAGTAGTAGTAGTAGTAGTGGTGGTGGTGGTAGTAGTAGTAGTAGTAATAATAGTCGCAGTAGTAGGAGTAGCAGGCCTAGTAGTAATAGTTATAGTCGTAGGAGTAGTAGCAGTACTACTGGTTGTAGTAGTAGTAGTGGTGGTAGAAGTAGAATTAGAATTCGAAGTAGAAGTAGAAGTAGTTGTAGTAGTAGTAGTAGTAGTAGCAGTAGCAGTAGTAGTAGTAGTAGTAGTAGTAGTAGTAGTAGTAGTCGTCAAAGTAGTAGTCGTAGTAGTGGTAGTAGTAGTAGTAGTAGTAGTAGTAGTAGTAGTAGTAGTAGTAGTAGTAGTAGTCAAGCAGCAGTAGTAGTAGCAGTAACAAAAATAGTAGTATATGAAGAAGAAGTACAAGTACAATCGGTTTGAGAGAGCAGAAGCCTAAGCTTAAGTCACCGCTGCAGCAACCCACGACGTTCTGCAGCGTGCTCACGATACGATGCCGAACATCGCGCCGGGGTGCCACTGAAGCGATTAGATGCGGCGACCCTCAGAACCTGATGTAAAATCTGGAAGTACATGTCTGGCACGCCCTTCTTCAGAGCCTGTGTGAGCTCAGCCTCTGTAGCCGCCAACGCAGCCGTGGCACCTTCCAAGAAACTCTGTCGACCTTCGCAGCATTTCATAGCGTCGAAGCTCCAGAAGATGCGCTCGGAAACCAACTTAGGTGGCGCGATGTACTTCCATCGAAAATTGCAATGCAGCGTCTACTGGATCCCGAAGCCCAAGAAGAACTAACCCAAACTCTTCCATCAACTCTTGAATTTGTCTCCCAGCTCTCCTAGGAATGTATTCCTTAGTGCTAAGCAGCTCGGAGACCGTGGTCATGTCCGCGTACGCCCACTTACCCTCCCTCAGAAACATTCCACACCATCATTCAAACCAAGCCTGAAAATAGGTAGCTCTCTTTTGTCCAGAAAAAGATCGAAACAAGTAAAGCGAAACCAAATCACTAGCTTGTCAACCGTCGCCTCGGCGTTCGGCCTGCCACCCCTCGAGGACGAGGTGGGAAATAGAAGCCAACGACCGCCAAGTCGAATCCTGACCTCTTGACTCGGATGCCCAGATCCCGCCCACCAAGGCCAGCAGGAGGAAGCAAATGACAAAAGATATGTGCCCCTCGAGGCCACAACTCCTCAAGGTCGCTGAAATCCCAGATGATTTGTTAGTGTAGGGCCCCCTTCCATAATCAGGCTCCAGAACAAAAACTCCGTGAAGCCAACGCTTCTCGAAGGGAGTATCAGGTAGAGCTCGCTCCTACGTGCCCACGGAAACTCGCATGTGGAAAGACTTAGCCGTGTGCAATATTACCTCCTCTTGACGACCCTGAGAACTGAAACTCTGCGGATTGCAATGCACGAATCGAATATACGACATGAGGATGCCCGCGCAGGTCAATGAGCGAACGTCCCCCTGCGGACGCCTTGTCTCCATGCCAGCGCCGGCCCCGCCAACGACGCAGGCGGGCCGTCTCCGAGCGGCGCGAGCGGCGAGAGCCGCCTGGCGCTGGCAGTCGCAGTTCAATTCGGCAACGTCCACGACTTTGATGATGTGCCAGAGGCAATGCATCACCGCGACCCTCGCGAGGCTGTGGCTCCCGGAGTTCTCCCCTGCCTGCTGGTGGTTCGCGCCAAGGCCCGATCTCACCAGAACCTCTGCGTGCAAGAAACATCGAGGCAACGCCAAAAGATGAAGAAGTCCCCAGCACTGGAGGTAATGCTCGATGGAATCGGAGCCCGTCTCGCAACCAAAGAGAGCAGGATGCTGGATCGGCACAACGTGCAATCTTAATGAAATCGTCCATTCTCCTCCGTATGTCTTCAGAATTTGCCAGCGTGAAGGTGGAAGCGCTCAGAGGATATTCCTGGTCGCGCGCCAACGGCGACGAAAGTACAAAGAAGACACATACCAGGCGCCTGGTCGCTTCCGGATCGCGCCATCGAACTCGTCCTGGAAGAAATGGCTGCCTAACGCACTCTGATATGCCTTCTGGGGGCTGGGCTCCGTCCTGCCGCGCGGCATTTCTAAATTTCGCAGTTTCTGTGTTGCATCTTCCACGAGTGCACGTTGAAAGAACGGCGAAGGAATGGCTGGCAAGAACAGCAATAATTGGTCTCTCAATGTGGCTCGCATGTTGGCACCCACCTCATCCCGATCGTTCCCTGTTTGGCCTTTCCGCGGAGGCCTTGCTCAATGGACCCGCCAAACCAGAAGCTTATAGTTATAACAGAATCCGCCGGCCCAACGGACCAGAGGCGGTCAAAAATCTCTGGTAAGAACTTAAAAACATTTCTACTTCGCGCCCGCTTGGCAGCCCCTGGTGGTCCGAAGACAAGAAAGTACCCCGGCAAGGTCCCGGCAAGGTCGGATCAGAGTTGCCGGCACTCCTAAGCGCGGCCTCGGGGCCCTCCCGAGCGCCCCAATGAGGCGCTAAAAGGGTGGCGTGCCCCACGGCCTCAGGCCAAGAGCGTTCCAAGATGGTCCACGTTGGTCCCAAGACGGCCAAAGAAACGCCCAAGGGTTCCACCAGGACTTCGAGAGGCCCCGCAAACGCAAAGAGCATGGATTTGACATGTTTTTGTCGATTGATTTGGGCGCATTTTCAAGCTGCCGAACGCCCTGGACGGCCCAAGAGGTCCCAAGATCGCTGCAAAACTATAGAAAAAGCCTCCAAGAGGGCCCCCACATGGCCCAAGATGGCCCTAAGACGGCCCAAGAGACCTCCAAGACGGCACCAGGATGGCCCCAAGAGTGGGCCCACAAGGGGGAACCCGAATAGACATTTCGAACTCTCTGCCGCAAGAGGCGCCCAGGAAGCCTCCAGAGGCCCCCAAGAGCCCCCCGAGAGGCCCCTAAGAAGGCTCAACAGAGGCTCCCAGTTCCCCCAACAGGCCCCCAGGAAGCCCCCAAGAAGCCCCCAAGAGGCTCTCCAGAGATCTCAAAACTGCTCCCCAGAGGCTCCCGAAAGCCATCCGAAGAGACCCCAAGAAGCGTTCACGAGGACTCTGACCCACAACCCAGGTACGTCTCGAAACTCTGCTGGAGCTCGCTTGAGCCATCTTGGCGCCCTCTGGGGCAGTCTATCGGCTTTCTTAGACAGGGTGCGAGCCACATCTCGAAAGATCTCCACGAGAACAATACTGCCTGCCCTACCATTCCCCATGGGTACGAGCACACCACCATGCAGCCACCGTGGTGCGAAATGGGCCGGCGGAGTGAGCGAAGCGATTACATATTATATATATATATATATATATATATATATATATATATATATATATATAACAAAAAAAAAGTGCCGCGTTGGAATCGCGGTCGCAGGTGTTCCTGCGCTGCGTGAGCGACGGAACGGCTGGGAGCGCATGCAAGCCCCCGTGCGGGAAGGTGAAGGGATCCCAGGAGACAGCCCTCGTGAGCCCTGCACGTTGCTGGAGGACGAAGAAGACCACGATGCCCGTCGCGGGGGGCTTGCGGAACCCATGGGCGGACGCTGGGAGGCCACACGGGAAATCCCTATGGGGCCCGATGTGGAACGAAGGCGGCGGCGGCGAATCGGTGACCACCAAAAGAACGACGACGTCGATGACAATGATTGCGATGGCGGCGGCAAGGACGAGGCCGAAGAACAGTTGACCAGCCATAAACGGCACCCCCGACGCAAATCATGACAGGCCAGGAACTCATGATACCCAACGTCAATGGAGGTATAGAGGGGGGAAGGCGGAAAAAAAACACATCCTGGCGAAAGACCCAACCATATGCAGTTGTGGGTACCGCAATTGTGAATATCTTCTTCGGTGAAGCTCCCTATGGGGCCACAAAGCGCTGCACATGCGGGCGGTAGTAGCACTGGGGCCGTCGGTGGAGCTCCCTACGGGGCCACGAAACGCTGTACTGGATGGGGGGGACGCATGCGGGCGGTAGCACCGGGGCCTTCGGTTAAGCTCCCTATGGGGCCACGAAGCGCTGTACTGGGTGGGGGGAACGCATGCGGGCGGTAGAACTGGGGCCGTCGGTGGAGCTCCCTATGGCGCCACAAAACGCTATACTGGGTTTGGGGGACGGATGCGGGTGGTAGCACTGGGGCCGTCGGTGGAGCTCCCTATGGCGCCACAAAACGCTGTACAGGGTGGGTGAAAATGCCAAATTGGGTGTGTGAGACGCATGCGGGCGGTTCCACTGGAAGCTTCCGTGGAGCTCCCTATGGGGCCACGAAACACTGTACTGGGCGGATGAAAATACCAAACTGGGTGTGTGGGACGCATGCGGGCGGTCCCACTGGGGGCTTAATTAGGTGGAGTTTCCCATCGGGCCACGAAGCGATGTACTGGGTGGGTGAACATGCCAAATTGGGTGTGTGTGGGACGCATGGAGCGGTCCCACTGGGGGCTTCGGTGCAGCTCCCTACTGGGTGGGTGAAAATACCAAACTAGGTGTGTGACACGCATGCGGGCGGTCCCACTGGGGGCTTCCGTGGAGCTCCCTATGGGGCCACGAAACGCTGTACTGGGCGGGTGCAAATACCAAAGTGTGTGGGACGCATGCGGGCGGTCCCTCTGGGCTTCGGTGGAGCCCTTTTATGGGGCCACGACACGCTGTACCGGGTGGGTCAAAATGCCAAATTGGGTGTGTGGGACGCAAGCGGGCGGTCCCACTGGGGGCTTCGGTGGAGCTCCCTATGGGGCCACGAAGCGCTGTGCTGGGCGGGTGAAACGCATGGAAGAAGGACGTGGGAGGGGAGGAGGGGGAGGAGGAGGAGGAGGAGGAGGAGGAGGAGGAGGAGGAGGAGGAGGAGAAGAGGAGAGGAACGCGGGGACCGTCTCTTCAAAACGAGGACCCAACACCACAGGATGGGGCCACGAAACAATGTACTGGGTGGGTGAAACGCAAGGAGGAGGGAGGAGGGGGCCACGAAACGCGGTAGTGGGTGTGAGGGACGCATGTGGGCGGTCCCACTGCAGGCTTCGGTGGAGCTCCCTATGGGGCCACGAAGCGTGAACTGGATGGGTGAAACGCAAGGAGGAGGGAGGAGGGGGAGGAGGGCGAGGAGGAGAAGAGGAGAACGCGGGGTACCGTGTCTTCAAACGAAGACCCAACACCACAGGATGGTTGATAATAAATAAAGAAGACGAGAGGAAAACTACGACGACGAAGACAAAGAAGCGTAGAGAGGAGGACGAACATAATAACAACAAGTCGCGTAGACGGGCAACGAAGACAAGGACGCGGAACGCAACAGACACCAACAATCTGCAGCGGCCAGCGCTGGGCAAGCCAGCCTCGATTTCCGAACCGCTGCAGGGCGTGGCCCGTGCACCCATGCCGAACGAGCCCTCCGCAGGCCTCTCTGGGCCAAAACACGCGAACCATGCAAGCGCCGCGTGCAACATCCAGTCGGTCAGCGAGCTTGCAGGCCGTGTCTGGTGCTTATCGCTGGCCCGACTCGTTGGGCCTCAGTGGCGCCAGGCGCCTTGCCCTTCTCCAGCTCGGGCAAGCGCGCGCCAGGTCCACGCGAGATGAAAGTCAGAACGGCGATGCTTCCGTCCTGGCATTTCTCACTGCACCGACCTTGCAGACGTGCTGCAGCAGATGTTTGCGTTTATTTCTGTCGATGCAAGGCCCCGAAACGGCGAGCGAAAAACGAGGCGAGGTTCGCGTGGAATTGTTTTAAGTCTTCGCTCCTGGCCAAAATTAGCCTGGCAAAAGACCCAACCATATGCAGTTGTGAATACCGCAATGGTGCTGGGTGGTGGCGGACGTATGCGGGCGGTGCCACTGGGACCTTCGGTGGAGCGGGCCACGAAACGCTGCACTGGGTAGGCGAAACGCAGTGAGCAAGGGCTGTGCTGGGTGGTGGCGGACGCATGCGGGCGGTGCCACTGGGACCCTCGGTGGAGCTCCCTATGAGCCCACGAAACTCTGTACTGGGTGGGCGAAACGCAGGGAGCAAGGGCTGTGCTGGGTGGTGGTTGCGGACGCACACGGGAAGGGTCACTGGGACCTTCGGTGGAGCCCCATATGGGGCCACGAAACGTTGTACTGGGTGGGTGAAACGCATGGAGCAAGGGCTGTGCTGGGTGGTGGCGGACGCATGCGGGCGGTGCCACTGGGACCCTCGGTGGAGCTCCTTACGGGGCCACGAAACGCTGTACTGGGTGGGTGAAACGCAGGGAGCAAGGGCTGTGCTGGGTGGTGGCGGACGCATGCGGGCGGTGCCACTGGGACCTTCGGTGGAGCCCCATATGGGGCCACGAAACGCTGTACTGGGTGGGTGAAACGCAGGGAGCAAGGGCTGTGCTGGGTGGTGGCGGACGCATGCGGGCGGTGCCACTGGGACCCTCGGTGGAGCTCCCTATGGGGCCAAGAAGCGCTGTGCTGGGTGAGCGAAACGCATGGAAGAAGGAGGAGGGAGGGGAGGGAGGGGAGGAAGGGGAGGAGGAGGAGAAGAGGAGAGGAACGCGGGGACCGTCTCTTCAAAACGAGGACCCAACACCACAGGATGGTTGGGAAAAATCAGCAAAAGTATTTGTTCCTGGCCCCAAAAAATCCGCAAGAAATTCACCTCGAAA